AACCCTCAAACCATGGCCACATTCTCCTTCAGAATGTCATCTCGATAGGGAATGAGGCCAGCAATGAGTCGTCATTAGTATAATAACCACTATTACTAAAATGTCCTCCAACTCACAGGGTAACTTCAAGTTTGTGAAGGTTTCTCCAATATGACCCTCAGAAGAAATAACACAGCAGGAACACAAGGCAGGCAAGGTAGCACAGTGGTCTGTACTGTGGGCTCTTGAGTAAAAATGTTGGGTTCAGGTCATGGCTGGTACTTTGGTACAAGTTACTCAATCTCAGAGTATCTGTTGATCTGTATCTTGCAGGTATCTGGCAGGTACTCTGGCAGGATCAAGAGACAGTAATAGCTATTACAATGATGGCCCAAAGACAGTGAAGACGGTCAGGTCAATGCCACTCCTAAAAGCAGACCACACTCTGGCCATCTGGGCAGAGCAGGCTCTCCAGAGTGGGCACCAGGACAAGGCAGCCCAGAGAGCAGTGAAGAAGAGAAATAGTTCCACTGACCCTGTAAGCTGTGCTTCCTCACCTCCCATAGTCCCTTTGAGCTTTGGGAATTTTTTCCTATACCTCTCAAGTAATATATAAAAGCACTCTGAGCTTCTACATCCTTAAGATGACATACTGCCACCCACTCTCAGAGAGACTGACCTAAGAGCAGACCAATATCATGATAGGCAGGGCAGAGTGAGGATCAATGAGTAACACAGGTAGGGTCCCATAGCCAAAATGCTACACGTCTGTGCTCATTTAAAAAAAAAAAAAAAGTTGTACAAGGCAGGGCCAGGTCCCAGGCTTTCTTTCTCTCAGGGGAAATAAGAGGCAAACAATACAATAATCTTCCATTAATCAGTGGAAGAAAACAATAGAGGTTTATTGGGCTGAAGTACTTGGGCAGGCTCTCAGTGGGCTAGCCATGATCACTGGTTTTGAGTCAAGGAAAGTCACTCTCTCGAGCTCAGAAGCCAGGGTTGCTAGGATAACAAGTAGCCCCTGAGGAATGGAAGAAGGACCCAGCTACCCACCAAACCCATCAATCCACAAAAAAGTGTACAGTGCTTCTGCCACCATGAGGGACCAACCCCACAACACCATGCCATGAATCACGGACAGTCCTGGATTGTAGGCTCCAGCCATAGGATCTGAGTGGGGTCTGGCACAGACTCCAGAGCCCTCCCCACACAACCAACTCAGCACAAATCAGCTGGTCCTCAACTACTTAGCACACAGCCATGCAAAGTCCAGGCCTCCTGCCTGCCCAGGTGCTCACAGGCTGCCCTACTTGACACAGCCTGCCAGGAGTCCTAACCACATAACTAGCCCAGGGCCTTCCTCTGTCTACAGCGGTCATTCTCCTCACCCCACCTCAGCTACAAAACACCCAGTCTTTAGGATTCACCTTTGGCCTCAGTGGCATTCAGGAGCCTCTCTGGTGTATCCCTGCACACACACTGAGGGTTTGGTGCCCTGTCTGTGCCCTCTCATGGTAGTGTCCCCAGTGCCGGACTCTGGGCCATTCTGTCCTAAACCTCACACAAGGTCCAGCCTCTGACACCCTCACAAATTCACAAGAGACACTCTGACTACAGTGGCACTGCCAGTGACCCAAAGCCACACAAGTGGACTACTTTGGTAGTGGTCCATGTCCTAATAGCATCTACCCATGCCCAGGAAGAAGGACTCTGCAGTGTGGTCCACGTTTCAGCCAAGCAGAGGGTCATCTTTATTTTTCCCCAGACTCAGCCAGCCTCAGATTAACAGAGAATACTATATCTGGGAGGCCAGGCAATGACTTTGATATGCTCTTGAGAACAGGCTTCCATTTAACATTTTAGGGAATTCTGAACCAAGATCTCCACCACAACTCAACTCCTCAGGTAAAGGCACCCTGCTCACAAAACACCTTCAGAAAACTATTCAAGGCACCTGGTTTGTACTTGTTGTAGGTACCCTCTTCTATGCCAGAGGACTCAGGCCATGACAACTTTTCCTATAGAAGGCTCTAGATGGTTCCAGTGCAGCATAAACAGAAAGTATGGTTCTAGGTCAGCCCTGACATAACCCTCCACTTCAACAAACATCTGCTGTCCGAGTGGACAGGTTCCAGGCTCTGGGCTACAGCTGGATGTGGTGGCAGACATACAGACTAGAAGGACTGCAGAATCCACTGTGAGTGTTCTTCTCTGCCCAACTCAATGTATTCAATGGGACAGGATTAGAATGCTCCAAGCCCAGAGTACAAATTCAAAATTCAGAAATGACAGCAAAATAACCGAAAGTAATACCGCTGAAGAAAACAGCATAAACCATACATCCTCTCATTTAGTTTTCCAGTCACTTCTCCATTCACAGATCTGACAAGTATTCAAGGCACAAAGGCAAACAGATGACTCCAAAGAGGTCTACTGTCAGACTGCACACCAGCCCATTTTTACTTATGCTGCACAAAACCAAATTTTTAAGAACATAATGAATTGTAGCTGGGCTGAGCCACAGAGGCCAAAATCCACTCACCATCAAAATAAATACTGTAGCCATAGGGACACTCTTGTGCATTAAAAGAAAAAGCCTACACCTCAGCCAACTGTTCATTTGTCCCAAACACTACTCAGAGCAATAAAATGCCAACAATCTCAGAAGCAACATATATCAGGGGTCCAGTGGACAATGGTTAAGCAACTCAAGCCAGCTTGCCTTCCTTTGCCGCAGTCTCTTCATTTGCAAAATAGAGATCACATAGATCCTTCTTCCAGAGTTACTGAGCACAAGAACTTAGCATAGATCCAGGCCTCCAGGACTCCTAAGTGCACCTCAATAGTATCTTAGCATTAGCCCTGAAAAATGCTTCTATTCTCTCTGCCAACCAGACCTTGCCCTGCCACCTGGCCCAATTCAAATTCTACAGCTTGAGAATGCCTCTCTTTAGGGTCCCCAACACATATCAAAGTCTGGCTGTCAATGGCTGGATACACCTCTGTGGTCATGGTTCGTGCATCTATTCTTTACATTCGGAAGGTAAGACCCCTACTCCCTGCTTGGAGCTTCCTAAGTTTTAAACTTCCACACCTGTGATTCTTCTGCCTTTTCCTGTGTAGCATCCTCACTTATTAAAACCTGTTGGGTGCTCACCTGCTTTAGATGTTGCACTGTATGCTCAGGTCAACCAAGGCAGAGGTGTCTACCCAGAAGGGATTCACAGGTATGTGTGGGAGACAAACATGGGAGTATACGGGCATTCCAAGTGGGCACATGCACACACACACACACACACACACACACACACGTTTAAAAAAACATAGAATATGCAGGAAACAAGAACTTCTGCAGTGTTGGAGCATATGGAGCAAGAATCAAAAGATACAACTGTAGCTTAAATATGAGTCAGATCCTGATCTTCAAGCTACAGGAAATGGGAAGCTATGGAAGCAATATAGGGATGGACACCTGCCTGCCTGCCTGCCTGCAACCATCCCAGAACTAAGCTGTGGCCCCTATGCCTGCAGAGGACCAGACACGTGAACAACCAGGTTAGCTGAGCAATTACAACAGCTACAAGTTTCCAGAGTGCACCAACACAGGCCTGGAAAAGGGAGGAAGGATGGAAGTGAACCAGCAAAAACTCAACCTCCAATACAAAACGTAAGATTTACCAATCTCCTACAGTCATGTGCAATCACAGCTTGGCTCCTAACCCCAAACCACTCTTGTATCCAGGCACTCACTGAACATTTCTACAAAGGGCTGACAGGAAAGTACAGTTTTATTTACCCAAAGCACTTCACAATAACCGGATTCACCTGCACCTTTCAACCTACAACTCAGTGCCACACGGAGGATATTATACTAAAGAACAATCTCAATCGCTGCCTCATTGATACCATGAATACAGAAAACAAGCAGAGAAGTGGAGATGACAACATATGGAATGCTGAGGAGGAGAGGAGACAGAATGAGATAGGAAATATGGAGGAGAGAGATCAAAACACTGAACCAGTTCCAGATGAGCCCAGACCTGAAATACAGCTGCCTTCAGACCAAGACATAAGGGTAAGGCAAGCTAGAGCACAAGCAAAAAGGAAAGGGTGCTAAGTGTAGCTGGAATGGTAGCTGACAGGATGAAGGGCAGAGGAACAGCACCCTGGCCTACACAACTTTCTGTAATGACTGCATAAATCCTTACCTGCACTGTCCAACTGGAAGCCACAAGTTAATGTGGTGTCATTTTAATGGCTACACATAGCTAGTAGCTGCCACCCCGATATCAGAGAGAACTTCCAGAACCAGGGAAGAAGTGAAACCTGTGTCTACCAGCAACAGGTGGCTCTTGGGGGATTTCTACCAAGATGGTCTGGATCAGTGCCACCTGGAAGCACCAGGGGATAACCCGGCCACCAGTACCCTTCAGGCAACTCTTATAGCCAAAAGGACAGAGGAAATGCACACGGGCTAGAGGATGAAGTAGGCTCCTAGAGCTGTAAAGATCACCCCGTGCGGTTAACAAGTAGGCAGTAGGCGTGGAAGTGGCTCCCAGTCTGGGCACAGATCTCAAATGCGGACAGCCCAGTGCACTGACCACTAACAGGTTCCAGGCTAGAGAGAGTCCCGGGCCCACCAACCCCAAAGGCTGGTCCTTCTCCCTGCTGCCTCCTCCCAACCCCGAATCCCCACGGAGAGGACCTCGATCCCTTACTCCGATCCCTCACTCTAGCTGTCTAGGTGCTCACTTTGCAACGTCACCACGACCCTTCACTTAGGCCTCCCTTGCTGGGCCTCCAGACCCTCCTCCACCCCAAACACCTGCGACTACACTTAGCTACCTCGCTCCGCCCTCGTTCCGCCCCTGCCCCTACCTCACCCCGCCCCTTCCCCGCCCCCACCGGAGCAGCTCCGCCCTGTCTTTTAAAAAAGCCATGGTAACCAGCCCGCAACCGCTCCCCGCCAAGCAGCCTTACGGCCCCACGGCCCGGCAGCCAGTACTCCCCCATTCCCTCACCTGCACTGACTCTAGGTTGCGCTCTTCAGCTCGCTGTGGGAGGGCGATGCCGGGCGGGCCGGGCACCCAAACATCACGTGACGGCCTCACGAACCAATGGTGTGCGTCCGTCTCAAATTCACGGGCTACGAATCCCAAAGTGCCCCGCGATAGGAAACGGAGTCCGGCGCGACCAAAAGACCCGGCGGGTGTGCTCGCGGCACTAATGAGGTGACCCTGCGTGCGAAGGTGGAGGTAGATCGATTTCACCAGGCGCTAGCAGAAGGCTCTTTCTCGCGTCCTCAGACTCGCCTGGAAGTGAGGACTACCGCGGGCGTTCGGCCTGTAGGGTCCTCCATGGAAAAGCAGGAGCTGGTAGAGACCCAAGACTAGGAAGACACGAAACAATTGAAGGGCCTTTACTCACGAACACCACGCAGAATAGGGAGGCCCCTTTGGAGACCCCCTGAGGCCCATTCCCACCTTTATCAGAGCCCAGATAGGGGCTTTCAGCTCCTTCGCCTTCCAGTGACTCAAGCAGAAAAGAACGTTACCAAGGAGTAAGCTGGCTTGTGCGTGGAGATGGGACTGATGGGTTGGCCAGTCACTTCTCAGCCTGTGTCCCCACTGGTAAACCAAGAACCGCACCCAGGGCAGAAGAGCCAGGCTATAAGCCCGCGTTCTGACCAACAACGTGGTCCTCCCAGCAGCTATCGTTCGATGGTGGCCACTCCTACCCCCATCTGGGTTACACACTTTCTTCAAGCCTGGGCACCCTGGCACAGAGCCACTAAGCACGGGATAGGGGTCAGGCCTCTGCAGCTCCAGGCACCCAACATGATAATGGTCAGAAGTTACCACATGGTCTCCCTGGAGGACCTGAGCAGGGGTTCTTTTAGGCCAGAACTGGAGCTTAGCTGGAATTTCCCAGGGTAAATTCTGATTCCTGATGATTATGAGCACACTATATGTGTGCAGATGTGAGAGCATGTGAACAAGCACGTGTGCACATGAATGTCCATGACTACCAATGTGTATAAACAAGCTCTGTATACTTAAACATGAGAATATGCTGATGGACACTGCACAATACAGGTACCCACTGGAGCATTTGTATGAACAAACATTGAACAGATGTCACAAGAACAATCAGGTGTGCATGCAAGTGTAGACACTAGCACAAGCATATGTCAAGGCACATACATGGGAGTAGTTATGTGACACAAGCATGTATATATGTGGATGGGATAGGAGAGAAGACAAGAGGAGAGGCAGGAAGAAAGACTCCTCCAGGAACTCATTCCTGCAATGGGGATTAAGGTGAATTAGAAGGATTAAGGAGAATGCCAAGTAATCATCCCACAGCTTCTTTGGGGCCCAGACCTCAGATCAGGGTTCCCTGGCTCTCTTCATTGCCCCTTCTGGGTGGGCCTATCACATGACATCAGGGCAACTCTGGGCTCTAGTGTTCAACTTGGGACAATTCCCAAGGAAGATGCCTGCTCCCAGATAGATCACAGAAGCCACAAGAAGGAGTGATTGGAATAGGCCCTGAACAGTGAGCTCTCTCACCTTGAGTCACAGTTGACTCTCAGCTGGCAGCTCATTAAGCTGGATCTGCCTTTCCAGGCCCAGGCCCAGGTTGGATGGTTGGAGGCCTTTACAAGGAATCTGGATGTGACACCCATTAATGCTTCCCTAGAGGCTCCTTGCCCCCTGAGAAGCAGCATGGCCTGTCACAGTGGAGCTGACTTTCCAGACTGACAGTGTCAGCCATGGGTCCTCAGTAAGGGTCTGTACCTTCCCTTCCACCCACTTCACTCTGCCCCTGTACCTCCTGTTCCAACCTGTCACAGCCTGCATTCTCCTGCTTGCTTATAGATTCTTCATCCATCAAATTCTGCAGAACATGTAATATCACTGTTGTCCATGTCCCCATCATTCCCTATCAACAGAACTCCAGTTCTATGCAAGATAGCAAAGTGCCACGCCTTGCTGGCAGCTGGAGCTGGCCATGTGACCCTTCATGACCAAGCGTTGACCAAAGGAGCCCAGTGAGTCTCCAACCCTCCAGAAGGAATACTCTAGCCCATCTCATTGCCCTTCTACTTTCCTCTATCTCCAGCATAGGATGTGAGCACAAGATACTGAGGACAGCAGCCGTTCTGCCAGCTGGGTACAGAGTTTGAGACTGAGGACTGGAACCACTGCATGGCATATCTGATTCCACATGCCAGCCCTCTGACTGATGGAATGAACTAAAGCCCTGGTTCCCTTTTGCCTTTTCTGATTTGGTGTGATTGGGTATTCTGTAACTGAAATCAACACTACTATTGAAAACATCAGCCATGGCACCAAATGACACACTCTTTAAGGTCGGGCCCCAGAGCTTCCATTGCATTCTGCAGATTGTTGACTAAGGCAAGCCCCTGCCCACCCATTCAAGATGCAATCCAGCCACAGCAGCAAGCTCTCAGAAAGCCAACTCCAGGGACCAGCAGCCTTCCTCCCTTGTGAGTATCAGATTGGCATCTGTCACTCAGGAGCCGCCAGTATCCCTGTAGGGTGAAATTCTTTACTGTGGGGATGCATCTTGGCCCTTCCCATCACTGCTGACCTTGGGATCTGCAACCCCTGCAGCTTGATCTTTGGCCACCTTATTGTTTAGTCCCCACTATCACATTACCAGCATGGGTTGTTGACTGCGGGTTCAGTGAGTCAGTGCCTGATTTAGCATGGGCCAAGCCCCTGGGAAACCATGGTGAAGGTGTGTGTTCTTTCTTTCTTGAGTAGATGCCAGGCACCAGAGCTAACAAAATAGGACGATGCCCTCAGGGTATCTCAAAGATGAAAACGGAAACAGATGGGCCTAAAAGAATCATCCCCTAGGCCATAAGTCTGTTGTTAGAAGTTTGTATGAAGAAACAGTATATTCTTCCGTCAGTATTGGAGAAGTTTCTCAGAGAGCATTTGACTGGGTGCTGAAGGATGAACAGGAGTTTACCAGGCAGAAGCAATGTGAATCTAACATGGCTGCTACAGAAAATTATCACATCTGCCTTTCGCACCCGCTTCCTGGGTCAGTATCTGCCCAAACTCTTATTCTAAAACTGATAGAAATGTACCAGTTTCTCTCCTTCCTTCTCTTTCCCCTCCTCCACAGCATCCATCCACATACTCACAGAAATATAGTCCCACACGTTCACTTCTAGTTATGGAATCTAAAAATTCACCCTGCTGCGCTGAAACAAACCCCCATCCCCGCCCCAGAAACCAAAAATAGCCCCCACCACTGCACACAGGGAAATGCAGTAACGAGATGCTGATGAGAGAAAGGTAAAATCAGAGAAAACAGTGTTCTGCAAAACTACAACAGTCTGTGCTTCCAAGGTCCCCTCTGCTTGACTGTGACGAAAAACCTCACAGCAGCACTGTGTGTGGGAGGAAAACAGCCACAGTCCCACCTTGGGTTGTTCATGGAAATAGGAGGATCACTGAGGGAAGCCGCCATGCCTGCTTCCCAGGGCCCTGTCCCGCTCACTCTAGACCCTGACAGCTTGGTGTGCCCACCTGCTCTGGTCTGGGACATGCACAGTTATGCCAGGACCCCATACAAACGTTGTCCAGGTCCCAGGTCCTGCCTGCAGCTACCACCTTTCCTGACTGTATTAAGGCCCTCTGGCTAAAGACCACTCCCTTGCTTTTGAGGATGTGACTACAGCGGCCCTGCTGCCCACTCCAGAAGCCCTCCTAGTCCTCAGTCTTGCTCCACAGGTACCCCTTCCTTCCTGAAACATACTATCCATATTGCCTCCCCCAATCCCAAATCTAAGGCTCCTTGTTGGTGGGAAATGGAACACTGTTAGTTTTCCTTGTGTGTTTATTGAGAGAATGAATAAGCTAGAGTGGTTGAGCTGGAAGGAATTTGAAATCATTAGAATAATCTGGAGTAAACTGATCCCTGCAGCAGGATTTCCAGGGCCACCAGGCGGTAGCAGGATTGAGCAGAACCTGAGCTGCTCGCCCCAGCCCAAGGCTCTTTCCTCTCATAGGGGTGGTAAAAGTCCCTAAGGGCTGAAGTTAGTGCCCACATTAAAACAGTTCCTCCCCTACCCTTGTGTCTCCTCTGCTCCCTCCACCTCCATCCTCTCTAAACTGTTCCTTTGAGAATTACCACCAGATAAAGAAAGGGGTCTGGGGACAGGTGAGTGAAAGCTGAGGGTTCAGCCAGGCATTTCCTTGGGGTTCTGAATGAGGGACCAGGATGCACCCAGCACTACGATAGACAAGCATATTTGGTCCCGTGGCCACTCCAATTCTCTGTCCTCTGTGTTTACCAAAGTGGACAAAAAGAACCAATAGGTAATATAGATTATGGGGACAGGGCATAGCTCCCCTGGGACAAACAGGACAGAGACTGGGGCAATGCAACTGATGATGGGAACCACAATGATCCAGAGTGGCTCCTCTGCATCTGACTCTGCAGGACCATGGGAAGAGACAAGTCCCCATCCTAGAAGAGCATTCAGGCCCCTAATGGGCCAAGAGCAGAGTGACTTCAGTAGTGAGACTAAAGCAGCCCCACTGAGCAGCCATGGGACCCTCACAAGGACAGCCCTAGCCTGAGCATCCTCCTTTCTCCACACGAGGGATGTCTGCCTCAGTTCTGTTTCCCAGTGTGGCACACATGCCCACAGGAGGGCAGAGCATGGCCTTCTGACTCAGAGTCAGATGAGTTAGGCTCTGGTCCACCTACCAGAAGTGCTTTATGGCTCTGGAGAGGCCAGTCCATTACATGAGGGCTCCCTGTTCTGCCCCTCTGCTATCCCTCCAGCCAGCTTCTCCTCTGGCCCTACCTGATTCCTGATTGCAGCTCTAATCTACCATGCTGCTCCTGAAGTCCATGCATCCCAGAAATTTCTGCCCCTACACTAGACCTGTTCCCTTGTGTGGATGGGCAGCTGGTTTTCAGGTCCTGTCCTGACTAAGGCATCAGTGCTACCAGGCAGATGGATGGCTGAGGCCACCAGCTGGAAGGTGGCAGAACCTCTGTGCCCCTCTTCGCTCCATGGGAGTGTACAGGAGGGTTGGAATCTTCCCCGACCCTAAAGCCTACAATTGAGGCCCAACCTTGACCTCTCCATCTCACTCTCAGCCTCATCTCCCAACCCGGGACCCCAGGGCAGGGGTCCACTTTGGATATTTGCAAATCTCCAAATTACCATTCAAACCCTGCTGAGGACCCTTCCCTAAACACACACGAACACCTTCTCACACACATGCCCAGCACAATCTCACATAGGCACAGAGATGTGAGAAGCTCTGCTCATCTTCCAATAGAGAAAGACCCTGCTCCTGCTGCTCTGCCCAGGGATGGGGGTCCTCCTGCACTCATGGAGGAAACCCCTCACTGGGCTGTGACAGCAACATGGCTCCCAGGGAAGAAGAAAGCTGGAAAACCCTCTCACCTATGGTTCTCCCATGCCAAGGTCTGTATCTCCTGGCTGCTTACACATATGTGTACTGGCTCCTGGTGACAGGTAGTCATGATGACAACTGAATGACTCCAGTTTGTTCTAGCTGTCATGTGACCACCTGGTGCCACCATCCAGCCTGGTCCCAGGTAAGTGATGGCTTCCAGAAGTACCAGGGGTTCTGATCTCAGGGCTCAACAAATAATTCACTAACCCACTGTTCAGAACCCAGTTCTTCCTTTTCCTTTA